TTCAATTAATAATACAGGTACAATTAATAATTTATGCCAATGTATGAACTATTATTTTTTAAAGTGATATAAATCCTTTTCTTTTGTTTCAAGAGATTTACATTTGTCTGTAATTGAAAGAAACTTTAAGTCGTATATTTGGTAAAAAAATTTTTGCTCTGTAAACTCTGTAACTCTTTAGCTCTATCTTTTTTTCGCTCTTTGCTCTTTCTTTTTTACTCTACAGTGCTACAGCTTATAAAGATACAGCGTTAGAGCATTTTTACAGAATAGACCCATAACTTGTCATTTTTCAAAATTATACTTATTTCCAATTTTAAATTCACTTTCAAAAAGAAAAAATCTCATATATTTTATTTTACATTAAAGAAACTGATAATATGTAATTTTCATATATAATATTACACAACATGATGTACTAGTATTATATTTACTTTAAAATTATAGACAAAATATGTATATTGGAACAAAAAAAGTATGTAAATATGAAACATGTAAAAATTATTATATGTACATGCATCGATTAGCTATATTATTATTATTTTATTAAGTATAATGTAATTACAATTGTATTTAACTAAATAATAATAATGTAGATTGTAGAGATAATCGATATAAGTATATGTAATAATTTTATTTTTAATATTATTTAAGAGTTTTAAATATAAATATTTAACAATTTATTGTTTTTTTATTGTTGTAGAACATGATTTAAATCATAATATAAAAAATACACATTATCCTGAAGCTTTTAAAACTGATTCTATTAATACTTGTAAGTACTAGATTATATTATATTGTGATTTATATATACATATATTTTATTATTTTACAATATGTTTTAATTTACAGCAATGACACATTTTGAACGATATATTATTCGAAAACTATTAGATATAGATTTCAAAGTTTCAGCAATACACGAACAACAAAGAAATATGAATATAAAAATAGATAATATTAAAAATCAAATTCAGACATTTGGGTTAGATGATAAAATAAGAAAAAAAGATGTTGAATCAGATTACATGGAACTTTTTCCTGTAGAAACTTTAGAAAAATTACAAGAATTGGAACAACTATTAATTAATAATAAGATTAACCGTAAAGCATTAGTATGTATATTTTAAAAAATAAACTTTTATAACGATATAAAAATTAAAAATACTTAACTTTATTTATTTTTTTAGATGATACAATTGGCACGAATTTTTTTTTTTTTTTTTTTTTCCGCTGGCCGGGAGGTGGAAATGCTTGATGCACACCCCTGGGTCGGCCCAGGCGGTAGTGTGGGACTGAGTGCGATGGGTAGTGGGCGTGATAACCCCCAGCTACCCGTACGTTATCCACTAAAACCACCCCCTGGGGGGGGAGGCAACCCGAAAGTTGCCTCCCCCCTTACCATCTGAACCTTCCTTTCTCCATATGCCCTTTCGGGAGGGACCGTTTGACACATTACTTCTTCCGGTAGGAAGAAGTAATGTGTCAAACGGTCCCTCTCGAAAGGGCATATGGAGAAAGGAAGGTTCAGATGGTAAGGGGGGGGGGCAACTTCCAGAGTCCGCGCTTATGGCGCCCTTCAATAATTATTTACAACACATACTGGACATACACTAATCCTACACTCTGTTGTCGTCATCGTCTCCGTCATCTTTGTCGACGTCATCAGTTATTCTCGGGGGCCTTCCCCTCCGCCTCCGAGCCCCTCTGATTGAAGGGCTCAGAGGCGAAGAGAGAGGCAAACCCTGGGAGGACGCCACCAGAAGCTGTGCCTGTGCCTGTCGCTCCCTCTCATCAGCCTCCTTAGCAGCCATCACAGTCTCCGCGAAACCAGCCACTGCCAGCCACGCTTCACAAGAATCCAGCATCGCCGCGACCATATGATCCAGGGTCATATCCGCTGCTCGTTGCACAGGATCAGCAACATCTAGATCTATTTCCTCCACGTCGATCAGGCCAGTTACAGGGGCAACCGCCAATACAGGGTCTTCTTCAGCCATTGCCGAGCCATCATCATCCGTCCCCAACACCAGGGCAACCGGCCTCGGGAGAGGGGGAGGAGGAGGTGCTCTACCTATCCTTTCAATAAGCTGGCTTCTTTCATCCTGCCACCTGCTACAGTAGGACAGTGTGTGCTCAGGCGTGTCTACATCGCCCGAATCACATGCCGCACACGCTGAATCAGGGACTTGTCGTATCCTGTGTAAATAGGACCCAAAACACCCGTGTCCACTTAACATCTGGGTGAGTCTAAAGGTAAGTCCTCCGCTTCTCCTATTCATCCACTCATTCATTCGCGGACGAATCACCGACATTGTTCTGGCGCCTGCCAAACCCGGTTTAGCCAGGTAAGTAGCCCACATTTCCAGAGTTTTATCACTCTCCTGCTCACGTATCACGACCAAACATCTTCTGTCGTAGATTCCTTCAGATCTGAGGACCAGCACCCGCTCAAAGGTTCTTCGACGTTCATCCGCTAGGAGGAGTATTGGAGGAATCCTCGCCAACAGTAATGCAGCATCAAGAGAAATCGTCCTGTACGCCGCAATAACCCTGGTAGCTATAGTATGCAATACCTTATTCATACCTCTCTGTGACTTTGTTGATGCTTTCAGTGCATTACTCCAAACCGGAGCAGCATACAGGAGGACGGATAGCACTACATTAGCATACAGACGTCTTTTGGCCTCGCCTGGACCCCTGAGATTAGGCATCAATCTACAGAGAGCTCCGATGACTTTACTCGCTTTACCAGCTACTTGCGCGAAATGTTCGTGAAAATTAAGCCGTTCATCTATAAAAACACCCAAGTATTTCATGTATTTTCCAGTCTGTATTACGTCTCTATCGACGTGAATACAGGGGTACGATCTCTTCCCCCTCCGTCTTGATAGGAGAACTGCTTCTGTCTTCTGAGTAGCGACTCTAATTCCAATAGAACTGATTCGATCCAAAGTTCTTGCTACCTGCGAATTAACGCGCCTAACAGCCATGTCGATCGTATACGCCGACGCAATGATGAGCGTATCATCCGCGTAACAGATTACTTGACAGCCATACTCGATACCACCACCAAGAACACGATCATAACCGACATTCCATAACAGGGGGCCCAGGACTGAGCCCTGGGGCACCCCTGCCGTCATCGGTCTAACTTTCACACCGCCTGGTATGGCATATTCCACGGATCTTTCGAATAAATATCCATCAATAATTCGTCTCAAGTAATCTGGAAATTCCTTTCTCAACATCTCCCGCCTGATGATCGGCCATGGGATTGAGTTAAAGGCATTCTCAATGTCGAGACTGACAGCCAAGACTACACCGCCTTCTCGAAACGCCATTTCCGCCGCATTTTTCAGTCTCGCCAGAGCATCACATGTAGATTTACCAGCCACAAATCCATATTGGTCCTCTGATAAGGCAGCGCTTTCTGCTTCCGCCATCCATGCATTAATTCTACCGGCAATAATCCGCTCTAATAGTTTGGCAATGTCCATGAGTAGACAGATCGGTCTTACCTTAGGCAGCTCTCCTTCAAGGGTGACTTCTTTCGGAATCAAAACAAGCCTGGCTCGCTTCCATAATCGCGGGAAGGTGCCAGATCTTAGGCATACAGTGAAACACTCCGCAACTTTTTCCATCATTTCAATGGGAGCAACTTTCAACACTCTTGAAGGAATGCCGTCCAAACCTGGCGCCGAATTGCGAGCACTATCTTTGATAACTCGATATATTTCCGCAGAATCGACAGTACACTGCTCATCCCAGAAGGGGACCGTCCAAATTGTATGCGGATCCGTCTCTGTACCATTTGGAAAGAGTCTGTCTATCAACGTCTGCATCAATAATGGGTCCATTATCTCTGTTAACGCAGGGGCTGCTGTCCGCAGGCGACCCAACACCAATTTATACGGAAGGCCCCAAGGGTCTTCGTCTATAAGACTAAGTAGCTCTTTCCACGCACGAGTTTTTGCAGCAACTATTGCTACTCGTAACCTCTTTTTGGCAAGTCGATAGGACTGTTGACGACGATTCACCTCATCTGCGCTCATAACACCTCGCGTATGTCTAATAACGGCTCTACACCACCTACGCCTACTCGAGATAGCTTCAGATCTTAAATTTCTGATTTCGTCACACCACCAGTATGCCGACTTTTTGCCTAAAGGTCTAGCTAACCTAGGCGTGCTACAATCTGCAGCCTCGCGCATCACGGTGGCTATCCAGTTCGCAAACTCATCCGCTGTACTATTTTCTAGTGATAGGTGGCATATAGCAGAACTCCAGATCAGAGCAGCCTGAAACCTGTCTACGTCCATTTTCCTCCAATTCCAATCTAGTGATGAACGACCAGGAGGAACTGAAGGCACGCCAGGTTCCAGCTCAAATGCGATATAATTATGATCCGAGAGAGTCTCAGTGTTCTGCATTACTCGCCAGTTCATCACCTTACATACAAGTCTCGGAGTACACCATGTCAGATCTACAACTGACGAACCTTGCGGACGCACACATGTAGGCACGTTACCAATGTTCAAGATCCTCAGATCCAGACCTGCTGCCCAAATTTCGACGTGATCACCTCTTACATTTGCAGCTCGAGCGCCCCATAGTATTGAAGCAGCATTAAAATCTCCACCTATTATTGTTTCAGAGGTCGCAGAACGAAGAAATTCCGCCATTTCATCAAGCCTTTGGATCATGCGTTGAGGAGAATCGCTCGGAGGTAGGTAACAGCTTATCATATTTGTAGATTTAAATTCAACGATAACAAAGCCATCACACTTCCTTCTTACCTTTACAGGACCAAGGTTAGCGCGGCCATCCCACCAGATGGCAGCCATGCCCTTCCTACACAAGGACAATGAAGGGCCATCCTGAAGACTATACGGCGGCTCCGAGATCAAGCACACATCAATGCTCCATTCTTTTACATGCTGTATAAGTAAGTCGTACGCAGCACGACTTCGATTTAGGTTGCACTGCACAACGCGCATTTAACTGCCTGAAGGAGTCATTTCTACCTGTCTCCGATTCAGGTCATCATTGCCAGGCAGAGACCCACAACCCATCGCACCAATACGATGCTGCGCATCTCTACCAGCCGCCGAACACAATGCACACTTAAGTTGCGCAGAACAATCCTTTGCCACGTGCCCCGTCTGGCCACAGCGAAAACACAATCCGCGTCGATCTATATTACATCTACAATTCGCCTGTACGTGTCCAAACTCCCAACATCTCCAACACTGCATCGGCTTCGCGTCGAGGAACTCTATTCTGGCATTGACCCAACCTATTTTAATCCTCCTCCGATTAGCCACTCTAGTAGCAGCAGCCAGAGGAAGCTTGGCCCAAGTCATGTAGAGACCATTATACATAGGTCTCATAGGGCTAATCGTTACCTCGTTCTCTTTACAGCCACCAGCACTTGCTACCGCAGCAGCCATCTCATCAAACGTCGCGGACTCATCGACTCCAACTATCCTTAGTTCACCTTGCCGAACCGGACGGGTCACAGATGCCGTTTCACCTAGAACTTTGGTAAGTTCACTCTTTAATTTTTCAGCTAGTTCGTCACCATTAGGACCCAAAACCTCGATGAGAAGCGCACCGCCCAATGACCTCCTAATCCTCGTGTTTTTGATTCCCATATCTTGAAGCGAGATGTTATCTTTCGCCTTACGCATAGCGTCGGCATATGAGAATCCTTCCGTAATGCCCTTAATAGCCACTGCCGCACTTCGGGGGGCTTTCCAGCGTATACTCCTCTTGTCAGTCTCTCCTTGCTTATTTGTGATATCATTCCTATCTACACTATTTACATTATTATTCCTACTGTTTACAGCAGATCGAGTTTTCCTTGGATCTCTTGGCAGAGGCCCGTATCCACTAGCTCCAGGAGCATCAGCCTCAACTGGAGAATCAACATATGGCCGCGGAGGGGGGGATTCCTCCTCCCCCGCCCCCCCGTCACCTCCTCACTCTTCCTTTGGCAGCGCTCCAGTCGCTGTTTGTATCCCCGCCAGACATACCGATGCTCTCAAGGGCACCGGGAGTCTGCGGGGGCCGGGGGGTAGGAGCATTTTCACGAGGTGGGACCAATTGTATATCGCTCTTCACCCTGACCCTCGGGTTATTCCGAGGGAGGGGAGAACTCACCTGGTCTCCCAACTTCACCGTTTGAGACAGCAACCTTCTGTCTCCAACAGGTTGCATTTGCCTAATTACCTCCTTCGTTATTCTTCTTACTAATTCCTCTTTTTCTTTTTCAGAATCAACATGGGACATCAACGGACCATCCCTCTCGGATCTTCCAGGACGAACGTCACACGACGGCGGACCCATTGGCGGAAACTCTTCTTCTTTCGGGTAAGTATTCTTTAGTACTATTTTACTTTTTCCTAATCCTTCTTTTCTTTTTCCAGGTTTACTATCTTCTTCGAACTCCAGCGGACGACTCCTCTTCAATCGATCCTGGGCATCCTCCGACGGTGTACCGGCCATCAGGGATTCGCCATCCTGCAGGTAAGTATCTCCACTTCTTATATTAGTACTATCTGATGGGGACCCCATGATTGGCAGCATCGGGGTCACTCTGTCTATTTTGGTCTTTAAAAGCTGAATACGACTTGCCTCCGTTCGCTCCTTGTCCTCCATGGCTCTCAAGGCTTTGGCCTGCAGGTCTGCGACAAGCTCTGTCAGCGCGCTTACCTCGTTTTTTAGTTTGTTTATTTCCTTTTCGTATAGATCTATCCTCGACGTTTTCTCGATGTTCTGTTTTTTCAAATAGGCGATATCTCCGTTATCTTGAATTCTTTCGGAGAGTAGCTGCACCAACATAGTGAGCGCAGACGTCCTCTCCGACATACGCTTCATTAACGGACCTTGCATGGTCTTACACTTCTTTCTAATGAAATCGAGCTCGTCAATCCACCTTTGAGCCATAGCGCCTAGGTTCGGAGTCGATCTGTTTCTTAATTCGTCCATATCCTGAGGAACTTCCTCCAATTCCATAATTATCCTTTTAGCTACTTTCTCTTTATTTAGGAAGGGCTTTCTACCTCTCATTCTTCCCCCCTTTTCAATGGAGAGAGGGGGGCAGTATCCTCTTCCTCTGGCCTTGCCAGCGACGAGACTATCGCCACCGGCTGCTCATCGACCCGCTGCTCTTCCTCCTCGGGCTGTTCTCCGTCCGTTGACCATTCGTCATCGTTCGCCGAATCTCTTCTGGAAGGGGAGGCTGGCCTGGGCTTTTTTCTGGACGGACGGGCATACTTCGATTTTAATTTAGCTCCACGGGGTCTGGACACTCGTTGTCCCGCCGATTCTCCAGTCGTTTCCAGCTCAGAGCTCAGATATTCCTTTCTTCCTTTTTGGCCCGGAACTTTTAGGCCTGGAGCTGCTTTGGTTGCTTTTTGAGCCAATTTCCGGGCTCGCGTCACTCAGTGAGATTGCGATAGCCTTCTTAATTGACCGCTGTATCTTTACCGCTTCTCTCATACACGGGCTTTCCGTTCCTTCAGTTAAAGCTGCTTGCCATTCAGGAGCAGCAAATCTTCCGCGTCTTGTGGCGGCCTGCCTAGGAGTGACTGGGTCTTTCCGGCAGGACACGTATGTGTCCCCCTCATCTTCTCTCTCACTCTCCGTTATTCTCTCTGGTGATGCATCCTTGGCGGCCACTTCTCTCTTCGCAGTAGTCATGTTTCCTGGCGTGCCTGCGGTGCACACTTCAGGAAGCCCATTGTCTGATGACGACGTGGCGGGAACTGGGACGATATCCCCACCGCGCCGATTCTGAGGGCTCCGATCACCCTCTGAGATCGTAAGTTTCTTATCATGTTCCGTGTTCATTATCCATTTGTCATAGTGCGTTTTTTTTGTCCAGAGGGCGCCTCTCTGGGGTGGTTTTATAAGGACCACCATCCCTACACCATCCTCTATCATACAACAGCGGAACAGAGAATTCAATTCAAGGCCCGAGTTGTGTATTTGGTCTTGACCACCAGTCGGCGCCTCTTTATTACACTAGGTTGTTGTTTGTGCCAATCTGTCATTGTTCCATCTAATGCGCATCCAAATTTGACACCTCGATTCTTCTGCGCAGCCCAGTCAAAAAATCTGGACCCATGGGGGGAGGGGGGGGGCTAATAGGTTGTAGTTCTTGTGGCGCGTATCCCCCCCGAAGCATCCCTTCCTACTGCGCAACATCCAAAGTTCGTGCCGACGCTACATATTTTCCGGGTCTTCTCCTATTGGCGAGCACGATTCCGTTGACCTTTTTACCCAATGGGTCTTATTTCAGGCGGTTTTTGGCCATTTAGCGGCAGATGTTCAGTCGACCAATGAGACTCGGAGCTGTACGCCGCACCACGTTTTGCATATGTAGACTATCTACTACAATATTATGTTATACTAATCGCATTTACGTTACAATTATTTCCTATATACGTTATTCCCGTAATATTTATTCGTAATAACATTAACATTACATTATTAATTGTAAAACACTACGATTATTACAGTATTATATCTTTCCGCCTCCATCTTGTATTCAGTCTCGTCCGCCAGTAGCATTAGACCGTTTAAAATCGGCCTCAAATTCGGTCGCACATGGAGACGCGCCTATATGCCGCGTTTACGATCGCGACTCATGAGGTCCACAAGATGGCCTCCGCGCATTTACATCCCGTGTGACAGCTCGATATCAACGTGATTTTTACACTAATTATAACTCATCAGTGCGTTCTAACATCTTTTATTCGCTTCTTGATAGTTCTTTTTATTTACAGGAACCTATAGTTTCGCACCGCGAAACACTTTCTACATCGAGTGCAGTGGTCGCCTAATGCGATTAATATATCGATCTGTCCGACCGAGATGCACGTCCCTCGCATTATCACAGGGCCTATTATTCATCTAATTAATTAATTAAATATGTCACCTGATCTCATCTGAGGCAAAAGAGACAGGCGCGGGAGTCCCTCTCATGCGGATCTAACCTTCTTTATTTTCGTACTATAAGTACATTGCTAAATCTATTTACATAGCAGTAAAACCATTATTTAACACAATTATTCTTATCTAGATTTATACTGGGTCAGTCGGATATATTTCCTACAACAGCTAATAATTTATTATACTAGTTATGTCTATCCACAGTTCTTTGTATCTGTCGCAAGTTCTGTATTACATTTTATACATTTTTGTACATACATTCGCCCGCGCACTTGTACAACTTATTTACCCTAAACTAGTTAGCTTTTGCTCCCTTTTTTACAGAGATTTCATCCATATTATTTCCACGCGTGAGGACAGCTTACACTTATTGCTCCTGTCACTGTCCATGCGCACGCAGAACTTGACTATTATCGGGGAGTAACTATTATGGTCGTACGTCCTCTCTATTCAATCTTGAATTTAGCACCCGCGCGCTGCGTCGAGAGTCGATCTTGGTTGATGGCGCATCGACGTCATCTCTCTTTCTGGTGTCGCAGGTTTGCCATCCCACTTTTGAGCACGCGCGCGTTGCGTAGATCATCCTTGTATTTCACACTGCGCATCTGCACTCCTGCCTGCACTCATTGCGAAAACCACTTAATTTCTCTGATTGTTAATGTCAAACAATCTGCATAACTTTATCAGATGCACAGCTTGCACTACCGCACTACACCCTGGTTGTTGCACAGTCCTGCATCGTCAGGTATCACTCCTTTTATCGGTTCGCGATTTTCTAACTGGAGGGAGGAGGACAGAGCTATCTGCCAGTTTTCGTCTATTTTTTCACAGAAGAAGTACTTTGCGTCAAAAAATATAGTTAGCGCATTGTTTAAGATATATATATATATATATATATATATATATACAGGGTGATTCAAAATAACCCCTATGTCCGTGAAATGACACATTGTTGAGTCAATTCTAAGACGATTTTTCATTTTGCAAAATTTCGTCCGAAGCTTAGTTTTCGAATTATTAAAGAAAGAAGTTAACGCATGACGAGTCGGATACAAGAGGCAGGCAAGGGTGACGCGAGACCCGTCAGACGCGGGCGCTTACGCGGGGCGCCTGCTGCGATCAGCTGATCGATATACACACAACACACATGCGACACATACATTCTCTCTCTGTCTGCTGTCTGTCTGTCTGTCTCTCTCTCTCTCTCTCTCTTTCATTCGCTCACTCTCTCTCACGTGTATTTTTTTTTTTTTTTTTTTTTTTTTACGAGAGGGGAAAATGCATTTTATGCATACCCATCGGTCGATCCAGTGAGTTATGTGGGACTCGAGTACCAAGTCGAATTACCAACTCGGTACTCCCTACCCACTAAAAACCCCTCTCTTTTCGCGAATTTTCTTTGACACACTGTCCCTCTGTCCTTCCCGAGATCCGTTTTCACATAACGTTAAAAAATAGTTATTATTACCTTGTTCGATGACTTCTGACGTATTGCTGTAATTGCTTGAAGGAGAAATGAATTTTCCGATAGATCGTACGTTCTCAAATTTAACGTAGATATCACGTTGCACAAGACAGAAATCCACACTAAATTATTAACTTTTTGAAAGTTTTTCTTCTTTTATGAACTGCATTCTTTTATAAACTTTAACGTAATCACATTTATTTATTCACTCGATGAGACGAGAAATTTACTGATGACTCTATCACTAATCACTGTCGAATAATAACT